TGCCCTCGCGTATGAATGCATAAAGGTCGATGCACGCTGACTGCGAATTGCTGCGGCAAAGCCGCACTGCAACCGTCTGAGAAGTTCGCAGTCATTTCTTGACTGCGAATCATCTCCTTCACTGGTCGCAGAGTTCCCAAGCGAAAACCAACATGGTTGTGTACAATTTGAGTGGTCATGCTGCAACACTTTTGATTTTTTTGCGGTCCAAGGGGCGAAGAGCTCTCGACAGTGTTAGGTGTATCCTGTACACAGATCCCGTCATCAGATAGGAGAGTTCTCGACTCTACTGTAGTAGAAAATATTATCACCGAAGACAAGGAGTATTTTCCACCTATGTCCATGAGAATGTCTCCTGAGCTGTTCAAGACCCTTCTTGGTCTGTTGGAAGAGAGGACAGGACACAAACTCCAGACCATGCATTTCCCCGCACAAATGGTGGCAGTGTCATTGAGTTGGGTAAATGCATACTCCATACAAATATTTGGTTCACACCTCAAATACGTACAAATCATACAGTACTCTTCTAAAGGAGGGGACGACTCAGGTTTTTGCCCTCGAAGAACAAGTGCTTCTCAACTTAAAGAGTTAAAATTCATGGATTGAACTATGGAAAATGATCAGGAATATAATTGATATCGACACATTTCCTGGAGATTTAATCACTATAGCTATGCATCTTGCTCATGGAGATTCAAGGGCAATGATTGGCATCATCTACTGCCGAAGTCATTCCACCAAAAGAGCTTCCAAATTAAGTATCCAAGGATATCATGACTTGCAGTCAAGTCAAGCTACGCAGCACGAACCACTGCGATTGGAAATGACTCCTTCCATTCCGTTGCGAAGCGCACTGCGACCGACTGCGAAGTTCCCACGCATCTCAATGCGACCGATTGCCACAAATTGGTCGCAACGCAGCACTTCGCAGTCGGTGTGCATGGCCCCTAACGGATACGTTTTCCGTGCTGAAACCTTGAATTGTTCTCTGATAGATCGATAGTGCTGTTTCTCTGGAGTGCATAGGCACATTCATGTGCGCGATCTATGCACAGGCTCCTCGGAAAGTTCATTCAAACGGTGCGTTCAATGTTGAATATCCCCCCCTCTATCTCTCTCATCACTACATGACCGCGTTTTCATCGACGCGGCCGATCGGGTGTTGCTGGTACAATATCACCGAACATTTCTTGACGCGCCCACAGAATTGTGTCTTACAAACGTATACTGTATATTCCCGAAACACCAATTTTTCTGCCTATATTCCCTTGGGATAGTTGGAATCTAGCAATGAAGTCGGGTCATAGATCGCGATTTCTGTAAATCTCTTTGGAGATCATTCGAAATCGCGATCTCACATCGCCGTCATCATTCCATGCAACTAAAATTTGAATTTGGTTTCCTTCTCTTTCATGAATTCACATTCGAGTAATGATGAAAATTATTGATTGTGACATCACAGGTTCGGGTTGGGGAACGGCTTTTGTAAAAATCTCATTTCGCTGCGCCTTTCCTTTCCAATTCCCAAATCTATTACGAGTGATGTGTCCAGAAATCCATTCGTGAGTTATTACAATATTTCCATTATCATCTCCTTGCCACCTGGCGTCCAAATCTTACTGGCAGTGTTCGCGTAGAATTTGAAAATCTGCTTGAAAATCAGGTGTGTGTGTGTGTGTGTTTTATAGACAAATCCAACTTCAAGCTCGAATTTATCCGGAACGGGGGGGGAATGTTATGATTTTGGAACCTCAACCTATTAGCGAAGACTAAGATTTCTCCTCTATTACATGCATGCTAATGGGTCTACATCCCTTTGACCTGAGAAGACTTGACTGTTGCTCTCTCGAAAAATCAATTCAGTCTCGTTTTCCCTTGCATGCCTTCTTCCTCGCTAAGTACCGCAGGCTACTTTCCTACATCATGTGGCGGAATCGTCTACGAGTCAGATGAGACATGTCTCGCCTTTCTTGGCATTCGGGTCGCCCAATTGTGGGACTTTTTCCTGCGTTTTAGAGCATGAAAATGCTAGCAGACGATGGACTTGCATGGTAACGATCGCGTTTGCGTATGGAATTTTCCTGACTCAGATGGGTGTCTCTGTTTCCTTCCTACCACGACTATTGCAATTATGAATGTCTTTCGATGTCTATTCCAGTCTATCCCAGTCTTCATGTATATCTGACTTACTATAAAGCTCTAATGGGATGAGTCAACATATAGATAGCATGTACACATGCCAGGAGGCATTGCGCTTGTAAATTTTCGTTTCAATGTACAATTACACTGAACTCCTTGCTCAGTTTGGATACAGTAGCATTGATCTACCTGAGATGTGTTCGAGACCGTCCAGTACCAGGCTGGCAAAAACGAGTAGGAAGACTAGAAAGAAGACAAAGACATGGTCAGTGGCGAATCCGGGTGGGCACCATTCATGATTGTTTTCGGTACACATTCGCATGCTGTGCCTCCCGTTTAATTCTCACCCAAGGAAACCATTTATTGTGGTGCTGTTCACATACTGGGTACTTGAAAAAGTGTGAACCACAGAGGGCCCAGAGGATTACTGACCACTCCCTAGCGAGTGTGGTGGGGAGTGTGGGGTACCGCAGTGCTTCAGTATTTTCGAAATACCTTCCAGCCTAATTGCTTCTATTGTTGCCGCAATGACAGAGACATGGTCTAGAAACATTTTTGAATAAGATTCTTGATTACTGGCTTCCATGATCTTTTACTTTAAAAAAAAACGCATGTTGTCAAGCGCGTACCTCTATGGAGGAGAACCCAATGACATGTACATATGCCACTTCATTCCTCGAATACCAAGAAGGTTATAAAAATCATATCTTTCTTGCTTTCTCCATCGGAGGTCGAGCAACAAACTAAAAGAATTTCGAAGTTGACGAGCAACTTGCCGTCGGGTCTGAAGTTGAAATTTTCATTAATGACACTTGTTAGGTGTTGGCCCGCGAACCTACAGCATTTTGCCATCCCCCCCCCCCCCCCCGCGAAATTCAGTTGCCGACCACTTCATGACAGCATTATGGACTAACACTTGAAGAGTTCAAGGAAGCTAGCGAAAAATCAAATTACCCGTAGGTGGAAATCAGACCACGAGAATGATCGGTGGGAGAAAAACTCGCTCTCATCTCGGGTTGCTTTCCTTGTGTTAAATATTAATTGCCACAATAGTCATGGCAGGAATAAAACAGAGAATCGTATTTTCCGTCCAATAGTCAAAATAGTAAACAAAGAGAAGCATTGGAATTGGAAGTGGATAGTAGACGTTCGTTACAGCTTCCATTTCACGTGCCATTCCATATTAAACAGTGACTCGATCCTAAAATGGCTGGGGCACTAATGGAGCTTTTTCTTTACGGAACCCACTTTTGCCTTTTCTATTGTTGGCGTCGCAGTACGGCGATCATTCAGTTTAGAAACTGCTGCGAAAAAATATTTACGAAATAAAGTCTGCATATGAGAAAAGGAAGGAGAGAACAAACGCATAGACCGAAATGTATTCATGGTACCTTCATCATCCAAGACTTTCTACTTTGGCTTTCTTCCTTTCGAAGGTTTTTCTTTTGCAGACTGTCACTATCTGTTAATAACTTCTCAAAACCGCTCCAAAGAATTATTCTTAAAATTCGTCTCAGTGTGATGGTATCTATCATGTAGTATATCTAGAACATGAAATAGATCTCAACGCGTAAACAATTCCATTCTCGAACGTACCTTGCGTTCGATTGAAGATCACAATATTGTCACAAGATCTCTTCCATTAATCAGGAAACTGAAGGAAAAAATAGCAGAGGATTCTACATGAAAATCCAGTTACGAGATTGGGGAAGGAAGAACATTTTCATGGTTTCTACGAGGGGGGAATGAAGAGTTCTCAAACTTTCAAAAATATCACACCTACGTGGGCCTATCAAAAGTTTCAGGACCGGCCTTCATACGAGCAAACAATGCACAGAAGTTAGGTTTCTGCACGATCCCCTTCGAAATAGTTACCTCAACTTGCGACCAACTTCTCCCAAAACACGTGACGAGCTCGGAGCACTTGTTCAGGAAGTGCCTGCGCAGTTTCTTCCTTGTCGTCCACTGCGTCCGTCGTCTTCGATGGATTCTCATCTTTCGTAATCCTCCAGATAATCGAATGTGTGAATGAAACAAGCGATTTCGCAACGGACGGGAATTCATCGAAGATGAGTAACGCAGAGGACGGGAAAGTTCAACCACATATTGTAGTAATTTACTATCACATTTTTTTCAGAAATAATTTCCAGACTTGGAAAGAGATATGGCTGTCCTTGTATCATAAGGTCAAAGCTACTCCAGAAGAATGGTTTGCTGCTGGAGTTAAAAAAAAGGTGGATCGATGAAAGGAGTGTGCAGTGGTTATGGGCGATTATGCTAAAAAGGTGCAAGAGGAGTAATGATCAAAAGTTCAGTTGTATATGTGATATTTCTGTATGAAGTAATGTGAAAACCAATTTTCAATGGCTTTCCCGTTCTTCAACCCCTCTCCCCCCCCGC